TAAATTTGCTGAGATATTCTTCATGAGTCCTTGAAAGTCATTCTGATAATGATGTTGGACTGATGATTCCAGGATTCCAAACTGCATAAAAATATGGAGAAATAAAGTCTGATGCTATTTATTTCTGAACTTTCCATTTCTTTTTTTTTCCTCCAGCAACTTTGTTCCTGACTCCCAACGCTCCTTCTGCATCATCATCCTCATCCTCATTTGTCTCGTCTCGAGAGCGTTTTTTCTTTTCCCCTTGTTGCCGCAATTCCTGCAAAGGAAACAGGAGAATGTTATCATGAGACCTTTAAGGAAATCCATCACTGAGACAATGAAGAAGATAAACATATTATTTAATAGAAGTTAATTAGGAAAGGGTTTGATAGTGGTAGCAAAAGCAAAAGACTCCTTAAAGTTGCCCCTGAGTTAATGGGATGTTTTTAATTTTGAAAAAAATAAAATAAAAAGAACTAGAACAGTGAGGACATGGAATACAGCTCTTCATGCAAGAATAAAAGAATTTCTCAGCTCTTGAAGCCTTGTTTGGAATTTGACTACCCAAGCAATAGACACCTGAAGCTGTATAAATCCTAATATTATTCTCACAATCATGGGTGCAACGGCTACATTTCTACATAAAACAAACCCAAACTGAGCATTAAAGCAGCCTACCATGCGAGCAAATCTCTGGGCTTCAGCCACACGCTCGGTCAACATCATGACCTCTTCTTCTTGACTGGGAAAGGCTGGCAGCTTTTTGCCAATCAAGTGCTCAATGCGCTGGAAGAGTTCCACATCATACCTGGAAGAGGAGAAAGGATTTCCCTAAAGAATCTCACCCTAATTAACTCCCCATCAGTTACTTGAGTGTTAAAAGCAACAAATTCACCAATATTTTTATGCTATGTTTCATTTTACTAATTTTTCCTTTCAATCTTTAACAAAACAGAACTTTCTCCACTATATAGCAAAAATATAACACATTCCCAAAGAAGCCCTCTGAGCCAAAACCATTCTAGACATCAGTGTTATATAAGAACAGAGCAAATAATACCATAAACCATAGTCTGTCTGGAGGATTCTGCTGCAAATACTGGGCAAGCTATGTGTCATCCAGGTTTACTCCTCAGTAAAAGCATACAGGAGCTTCACTTATCAATTTATGGGTATTCTACACAGATTAAGGCCAGGCGTAATGCAGAAGCTTAATAATGTTAGGAAAAGCTATGCTTGTGTTATATATGCTGGGAGGGAGGGAAAGGACGAAGGAAGAGGGAATTGGCCCAACTCAAGTGCTGTTCTCTCAAATCTCCTTCCAACTATGCAGGGGGAGGGATGCTTCTTCCCCCGTTTACTGCAAATTGTGGGTCTCTTGAAATAGCTCTGTATTTCCCAAGGACCCTGTAGCTGGAAATCACTGCGTTGGAATATATAAAGTCTGATAGTGGTACAGCTGGAGTAGCACAAAACAGTATCTTACTGTGTCACGAAGGTGATTGATTTACCAGATCGTCCAGCTCGAGCTGTTCTCCCTACTCGATGAATGTAATCCTGAAAGGAATCCAGAATAAGTAACAGAATTTATTCTGGTGGTTATAGGACAGCCACTAAAATAAATGTTCTCAAAATA